GAGGGAGGGAGGGAGGGAGGGAGGGAGGAAGGAAGGAAGGAAATAATGGCTTAATTACCCCGGCATTAGGGAGAGCAGAGCCACACACATTTTAGTCACTGCAGTGGTACAGTTGTGCAGCCAAGGGTGACACATGAGTACTTCTTGTGAAGTACTATTCAGTATGTCACAGAGGCAACTGGACGTACGTGTATGCAGGTATGTCCTAGAAGAGTCCGTGATGTTCCTCAGGCATTTAAGGACCCACGTTGTAGTCAGCACTTTTTATATGCAGGTTCCTGTCATCATCCAGCACGTCACAATATCGATGAAGGACTAGTACACTGAAATTAAAGTTCTCCCGGGATGTCATGGCTCATGCCTTTAATCCCAGCACTTGGAAGCAGAGCCAGGTGGATCTCTGTGAGTTCGAGCCAGTCTGGTCTACAGAGCGAGATCCAGGACAGGCATCAAAAGTACACAGAGAAACCCTGTCTCAAACCAATCTCCCACAAAATTAATTTTGATTTAAAAATATGTGCATCACTGTTCAGTTTGATGACCTTCTGTAACACTCACTGGTGCCCACTAACTTTGTATCATTCCAGTGGATTGCATTTGCTTCCAATAGCCAAGCATCACACTCCCACTAAGACTCCGAAGGAAGTGGCTCTGAAGGCCACTGAAAAGGATCTCAATTAGCTGACCAGTGAAGTTTGTTCCACATAATCAACACCCTGGATTGGTGCTTAGGAGGTGAAACACAGTAAAACATGGCTAGCATTTTCAAAGCCAAGCTGATTGTAAGTCCACAGAGCAGCGCAGGAGCACTACCTTCTGCCTGCCATGCACATTTTATAGAAATGCAAACTCCAGACAAAGAGCATCTTCCTTAGGAAGAACTAGAATACTGCGCCCTCTAGTGGATTACATCAGAGCTGCTCGTAGGTTCTGATTTAAGGTCCAAATGACAAAAGACAAAGAACCCTAAGAAACTTGCTTTTCCTCATAAAAGTTATTAAAAATGTGGAGCCAGATATTGCCATGTTTTATAACTGTGAGTGAATATGGATAAAAGGATTTTTATTTTGAAAATGCTTTTAGTTAGTTGTAGAAAATTAATTTAATGGAACAGCAAGGTCAGCAGCCAATTGAGGTTAGGTCCACAGAAGGGTGAACTCGCACATCTTTTAAGAGGGCACTGATCACACTTGGGGGACAAGAGCAATGCAGATGCACTCACTGTCTGCCCACCTTCCTGACCCGTCCCCTGACTCTGCAAATAGCAAAGGAGGCCTGCAAGGACCACAGGAAGGAAGAGGGGAAAGAGACAGTCCAGCTGTTGTTTCTTCTGTTTGACAGACAGAAGGACCCTTCTCTCCACCTGCTCCGTTTGCTTCTGCCCACAAAATTATCTCAAAGTTCCCAGAATCCTCCAACAAACACAAATACTTTAACATGAACAGGCATGCAAATAGGACTAAAATGCTTTCAAAGGCTAAAGTTTACGACCCATCTCTAAGAAATGCACTCATCTAGCCAGGTCCTCCGATCCCAGGTAGAGCAGAACTCACAGGCTTCGAAAGGACACGGAGACGCTTCCACCAGGGGAGGCGTTGCAGACCCAGCACCTTCTTGTGTTGTTCCCAGCTGCCTTTATAATGTTTGCCCTTCCTTTCACTAACCCAGGAGGTTACCAACCAGAGGAGTGAACACGAATTAATAAACGTAGATCACTGTGATTCAGTATGGTGTTTGGTTCATGAGGTTCCCACGGGAGCCACCGAAAAGCTCTTCTTAGACCAGAACGTGTCATACTTCTCAGAGATGCCAGTCTTCCTTTTGTGGTGCAACCAGGCTGTAGGGAGAACCATCCCTTGGTGGCTCTTCTCTAATCCCACTGTTCTGTTCTGCTGCCTTAGCTTCTAGGGCAAATACCACTGACACTCGGTCACCTTCCTATCCAGCTGTGCACACCATTGGCACTCGGTCACCTTCCTATCCAGCTGTGCACATCACTGGCACTTGGTCACCTTCCTATGCAGGTGTGCACACCACTGGCACTCTGTCACCTTCCTATGCAGGTGTGCACACCATTGGCACTCTGCCAGCCTCCTATCCAGGTGTGCACACCACTGGCACTCTGCCAGCCTCCTATCCAGCTGTGCACAGCGTTATCTCACTGAGGCAACAGCAAGTGAAGCCACAGGCTTATTCTCCTCAGTATTTCCATTACCCTGACCCCAGCTCCATCGCACTTAAGCCATTTCTTTTATGCCTGAGGTGCTGTTACCCTGATTAGATTTCAAGTTTTAAATTGTGGCACACCTTTCTAGTATCTTAATGTGTATAAATGATATGATCTGCAATACTAAGAACTCTGTCTTCAAGAATTATTATTGTTGTTACCCAGGACACACTATTGCAGCAGCACACAGTTCGAAGATCAAGGAACACACAAGGGAATGTAAGACACATGTCTTGCAGAGCTCGCCATAAGAATGCATAAGTATGGACAATAAGTATGGAAAATAAGTCTATTTCCCAAACTATTTACAAACTACAGTGCATCCTAATTGCTTAATAGGTGAGGATACTTGCATTTTGATAATGAAAAGTACTCAAAACTGGAAAATAATAAAAATGTTTCTTTTTTTGAAAGCTGACCTCTAATAGTAACTGTACACACACACACACACACACACACACACACACACACACACACGCAGTGATCTTGTCCTGGTGGAATTTACAACACAATGAAGTAAACCGGTCATAACGAGATAAGCAGACCACACACAGCACAGCAATGGGTCTACAAAGAAGAGCAGAGTACTCTGGACGCGAGCAAAGGGACAGCGGCGAGGACAACGTCCCCCAGGAAGTGCACAGGGGAAAGATCTGAGGGAGCACAGAGGCAGCAGGTAGAGAGATAGACAGATGCTTTGCGGTGGCCGAGTGCAGGGCAGTTGGAGAAACAGAGGAGGTGGGAAGTGGGCAAAGGGCAGGTACAGTGGCTGGAAATGAAGCCGAGCATCCAGGCAATTTCCGAGACTACATCTTCATCCTAAGGGCAAGCTGATGAAGGATGTCACCAGTGTTACTAATTAAATGACAGGTCACATGTGCAAAGGACATGGCACAGTCCCAGATCAACAGCAGCAGGCTAGTAAACACTGATTTCCAAACACATTCTGCAAAACTTACCTCTTCACCCACACCGTGTGTTCAATTAATAATCACAGTATCTTCTATTTGCTGTATCTTTATGAAATGAATTAGTATTACTGGATTTTAACATAATGCAAACTACCTTACAAGTTAAATGAATTTAAAGTACTCTAGAAATCAAAGTTGTTTACTGAATCACAAGATGCTAAAAATTTTGTAAGCACAATGATGAACAACTCTATAATGGTACCTTGATTTTTAACAGTATATATTTTGTAACACATGTATTGGTCCCAAAATGAAAGAGATGAAATTAAAATAACATGAGGTTGTAACATAAAAATACATAACTTAAAGAGATCTAATACTATAAATTATAATTATATATTAATTATATAAATTTCTTAGTAAGCTAAAATATGCCTCCAAAGAGGACTGAGAAGTCTAAGTCTATCTAAATCTTAGGTATCTGTAATCTGCCCTATCAACCATCTAATTAACACATAGTATCTGTGTCCTACTGATAAAGATTTCCGGCTATTCAAATTTGTTATATTGTTTTCATATGATTCTGCATCAACCAATTAAGACAGCTGGCAAACAGTAAATATTTAACCTAAAATAGTTCAGCAGCTCATCTCAAAATTTACATTTGCATAGACAGACAACAACTAATTCTACCAACATTTGGAACCTTTGGTAGCTGGTTACCAGATAGGCATCACATCTGGGAACCATACTCTTCCCAGGTGCTTAGAAACTTCAGTGTGAACTTCATCTGGGGTATAATTGTCATCAGGGACCAGAACCTCCTCCATGATAGACAGCTGGGTGAGCCTTCTGCCGCAGAGTCTTACAAACTCAATGAACGCACTGCAGCTGACTTCACACTCACTCAGGCCCAAGGCTGTCAGGTTTTTACAGTGCTTGGCAATGCAGATAAGTTCAGTGTCCAGGGGCTGAAGGCCGTTTGCACACACCACTAACTCAATGAGCCGTGGGCAGTGAAGACCTATCCGGCCTAGAATGGTTCTGCTTACTGAACGCCCGAAGTACAGGTGAGTGACAGGGGTCTCTTCTCTGAAGAATGTCTCAAACTCTTCTTCATACAAAAAGAAGTACATGACAATGTTAACTCCCGGAGAGTGTTTAATCAGTGCGTCCCAACTGTGTTTTTTAATAGAGTGAAACTTGACCTGTCCAGGATTTTCACTTACAACATCTATTCGGAGATGTTCGAGGTTCACATGAGTCTCACTAGATAGTGCAAGGAGAAGTTCGTCACTCAGAATGTAGTAATTCAATGCCAGTTCTTTGAGGCCCTGACAGTGGTCAGCCACACAGAGGATTCCTGTGGGAGGTGAGAGAAATCCTTAACAACAAAGAATCACACTGATACTAAAATGGATTTTGTAAAATTAAATTTTCTATTAGTTAGTTTACTACAACAGATAACTAATGATACTTGAGGAAATGACTGCAAACATATATCATTATACATGTGCAGATTAATTAAACTTGTCCCCAGACCCTTACACATTGCTGAGGGGAGGGATATGCAGCCACTGGGGCAGCCACTATGGAAATCAGTGTGGAGGTTCCTAAAGAACTCAAACCAGAGCTACTGTAAGACTTGCTCCACTCATCTTAGGGACCCCCAAAAGGCTAATTCAGCACAGCAGAGATGCTTGGGCAACCATGTTGGCTGAGGCACTATTCATAACAGCCAAGATGGGGAAACAGCCTAGGTGTCCACTAACAGAGGAGCGGGTGAAGAAAATGTGCTCCACAGATACAACGATTTCTACTGAGTCATAAGAATGAAGTTGTGACATTTTTAGCAAAATGAATCAACTGGAGATTACTAGGCAGATTCTGAAAGATAAATTTCACACTTTCTAACATTACTCAAAGTTTATATTTAAATTTATACACACACACTTAAAAAATGGTTGCAAACCAAATATAGGAACTCATCAAAGAGGTCATTCAGCATGATCAAGTTAGTTTTATTCTACAGCTGCATGGAGGGGTCAACATGTGTAAATCAATAAATGTAAGACATCACATAAATGGTCTTAAAGACAGAAATCACATGACTTTCTTAACAGAAGCAGAAAAGGGTTTTGACAGAATGCCACATTCCTTCATGATAAAAGCTCTGAAGAAACTGGGAACAGAAAAAATGCATCTCAACATAATAAAGGCTATCTATGATGAACCTATAGCCAACATTATATGAATGGGAAAAGATCCCAAAGCATTCTAACTAAAATAGGAATGAACCAAGGCTGCTCACTTCCTCCACTCTTACCATAGTAATCAAAGCCTTAGAACGCCAAGCCAAGAGAAGCAAATAAAAGGAATATAAATAAGCGAGCTGGCTGGTTTTATGTCAGCTTGACACAAGCTAGAGTCATCCGGGAAGAGGGGGCCTCAATTGAGAAAATGCCCCCACCAGATAGGCCTGTGAGGAAGCCTGTGGTGAGTTTTTGTAATTACTGATTGATATCTGAATGTCAAGCCTATTATGGGTGATGCTACCCTTTGGCAGGTGGTCCTGGGATGTATTAAAAAGCAGGCCTAGCAAGCCATAGGAAACCAGCCAGTGAGCAGCATTCCTCTTTCTTTATGGCCTCTGTATCACTTCCTGCCTCCATGTTCCTGTGCTGACTTCTCTGGGTGATGGACTACAAACTAGAAGACGAAATAAACTCTTTCTTCCCCAAGTTGCTTTTGGTCATAGTGTTTTACCACAGCGGTAGAACCTAAGGCAACAGGAAAGGAAGTCAAGTACTTGCAGACCACATACTTCTGTGCATTAGACTCTTCCAGAAAACCTCTGGAGCTCATGAACATGGATAAAGGTGGCAGAATACAAAATAAACATACAAAAATCACTGCATTTTTCTACATACCAATAACATATATGCTGAGGAAGAAATCAGGAAAACAACCCATTCACAATTGCCCCCACCCTACATGCACACCTTGGAATGAACCAAGCCAAGGAAGTGAAACCCATCTACAAGGAAAACTTCAAGACATCCAAGAAAGAAAGTGAAAAGGACACTGGATGATGGACACAAGCTCTGGCCACAGGATGTAGATGAATCAAGCTGAAACTGAGCTGGAAATTTTCTGCAGTCTAGCTTTCATAATGCTTCAAAGTGCTCTGAAGGCTGCCGGGGGAGAAAAGGATCTACAGCTATGAATCCTGTGAGCCACCAGCCTCCACTGGTGCAGTGGCAATACCTCTGTTACAGGAGTAACATGTTCTAACTGAATTTGAGGCACCTCTGTTCTGGGAGTAACACGTTCTAACTGAATTTGAGGCCCACTCCACAGAAGAGAATCCATGCTCGGTACTGCAAACCTGTTCAAAGGCCCACAGTTGGGAAGGTCACAGGACCTGACATGGAAGCTTCTACCATCATTCTGCTAACGAGGCAGGCTACGCCCGCCAAACCGACCTCTAAATACCTGTCTCATGCTCATGGGTTAGCACCGCTTAGCCGGAGTCAGAGAAGCCCCATTTTTGTGGACAGCGGTTGCTGCCGAGACTTGAACTGGTGCAAGAGGTGGAAATGCAGGTGGCTTTTGAGTGCTCAACCCGAAAGCGAGACTCGGGGGCACCATAGAGGGGACAAGTGAACCGATGCAAGAGCCGGAGGGCGGGAAGGAACCCGTGGACTGCGGTCTTCTGGACGGGACACTGTTCCTGCACTCCTGAGCGAGCTCACAGCAACTGAGTTACCCACCAACAGATCACCACGGGTGGGGGAGGGGGTCGTGAGGTCCCGCCCCTCTGTGAGGAGCTATTTTCTGGTGACTGTTGCTGGGGAAAAGACTTTCTTCAGTGGTGCTGCCACTGGTAAACTGCCCGTGTGCCAAAAAATAATCCCAACCCAAGCTCATGAAAGTAATCCCATTAAACTCAGTAGGTCAAAAAATGGAGACGACATTAATTCTTCGACAGGGAGCTAGCTGGGGAGGAGAGGGGCTCCGGCAGGGGAGGAACAAAAGACGGGCATGGGGTGAACGTGATCAAAATACAGTATATCCGTGCATGAAACTGTCAAAATAGGTCACTAATTTAGAAAAGACTAACACATGCCCAAGGAAAAAATATTCTCAGAAGAAGCAACTTACATCTAATTTGAAGATTAAGATTGCTTTTGGATACAATCAATAAATTGTGTTCCAGAGGCATGTACTTCTCAATGAGTAAACTATTGTTACTATAATAAAGACCATCAATCAACTTACATAAAAAACCACAACCTACCATCAGATGAAACATGAGGACAGCTACTCATTTTCAGGAGCCGCAGAGTGTCACTGTTGTTGGCCACCAGGATCTTCAGGGAGGGGTCGTCCACTGGCGTGTCTTCAATTTTAATGGATGATAATGATTTTGAGTTGACAAACACAACTGTAAGCGCTGACACAAAATGAGACTTGCGTGGCAATAAGAAAGAAATTATGAAAATGTTATTTAAAACTCATAGTTGCAATCAAGTAGCATTAAAAAAAACCAAATTGTTAATGCTAAAAAGTTCAGTAAAGACAATGAATACATTGTATTTTCACACTGTCATTAGCCAGTAGAAGACATTCCTATTTCCTTTTTAAATAAAATTTCAAGTTAGTATATGAAGTATGGGTTTCATTGCAGCATTTTCATGCACATATGTCCTTGTGCTTTCTTCTCATCCATCCTCTGCTCTGCCATTCCCTAGCCTCCCGGCACCCATGCCCTGCTCTGCCATTCCCTAGCCTCCTGGCTCAGCTGCCTCTGGTCTCCTCAGACCTGCAATACTACCCCTGCTCTTCATGTGTATTCCATTTCTCTCTGTGTCTCTGTCTCTCTCTCTCTCTGCCTGTCTCTGTCTTTGTCTCTGTCTCCCCTTCCCTCTCTTTCATGGTTCCCTTTCTGTTTTCACACACACACACACACACACACACACACACACACACACACACACACACACACACACGACACACATAGTCTGCATATGAGAGAAGACATGCAGTATCTGTTTTCCTGAGTCTGATTTGCTCCAGTTAACATAATGATCTCCACTTCCATACATTTTCCTGAAAATACCATGATTTCACATTTCTTCATGGTGAAAAGAAGTTCTACTGTGTATGTATATGTGTCTGTTGATGGACATCTAGGCTGGTTCTACTTCTTAGCTATTATGAACAGTAAATCAATAGACATGGCTGTGCATGCATCTCTGTGTAGCTGACTTAGACTATACTCCAGGTAGTTTACCAGTAGCATGACTGGACCACATAGTAATTCTTTTAATGTGCATTCATGCCTTTTGTAGGGGATTAGGTGGCTGGAGCTGTTTGAGCTCAGTTTTAGGTCTTTAGCTCAGTTTTAGGAATTCCAGTGATTCCTGTACAGGGTAAGAGATAAGGATCAGGTGGTGGTGGTACACACCTTTAATCCCAGCACTCGGGAGGCAGAGGCAGGTGGATCTTTGTGAGTTCAAGGCCAGCCTGGTCTACAGAGTGACTTCTAGAACAGCCAGGGGTGTTATACACAGAAATTTTGTCTCCAAAAACAAAAAAAAACAAACAAAAAAACTGCATAGGAGATAAGGATCTAGTTTCATTCTTCTACATGTGGATATCCAGTTTTCCATCAAACCATCAAATGAAGATGCTGTGTTTTTTCCAATGCATGTTTTTGACTTGTATCGAAAGCCAGGCGGCTGTACCTGTTTGAGCTCTATAACTCAGCTTGTATGTCTGGTTTTGTGACCAGCTTTTGTATTCCCACACTGCTTTCTGATTAGAACTGCTGTGTCGAGGAGGGTTTATTCAAGCTTCTGTATAAACAACAGAGTGCTTTTCTCTATTTCTGTGCAGAATGTCAATGCAATTTTGATGGAGACTGTTGAATCTGAAAACCACTTTGGTTTTTCCATCTTCTAGTATCTTCTTACTTATCTTTCTTTGTTGTCTTAATGTTTCCATTGTAGATCTCTCCTACCATCTTGCTCCCAAGTTAGGTTTGATTCTGAGTTTTGGGGATCTTTTTTGGATCATAAACAGGATTTTCTTCTTGATTTCTTCTCATTATTAATACATAGAAAGGCTACTGACTTTTCCATGGTGATTTTGTACCTCATTACTCTGCTGGACTTTAAGGTTCTCTGGTGAACTCTTAAGCATCTTGAAAGTATAGAATCATGTCTGCAAGTATGAACAATTGTCTTCTTCCTTTCCCATCGGCGTCCCTTTTATTTCTTTCTCTAATTTTAGTGCTCTAGCCAAGATTTCATGTTTTATGTTGAATAAGAGCGGTTAGAGCGGACACACTCATCCAAGTTTAGAGGAACGTTGGGGTGTTGGTCTCTGTCAGAGTTCTCTTGTGCTCTAGTGAGATGATCATGTGATTTCCATTTCTAAACCTATTTATGTGTTACATTACATATACGCAGATGCAAAACCAACCTTGAATCTCTGGGGGAAAACTAATTTATTTGTGGTGTAGACTTTGTTTGGGTTTGTTGTTGTTGTTGCTTATTTTTTGTTTTTTTGGGTTTGTTTTGTTGTTTTGTTTTTGTTTTTGTTTTGTTTTGTTTGAAACAGGTTTTCTCTGTGTAGCTTTGGCTGTCCTAGAAATTCACTCTGTAGACCAGGCTGTCCTTGAGCTCACAGAGGTCCACCTGCCTCTGCTTCCCAAGTGCTGGGACTAAAGGCATGTGCCACTACTGCCTGGCAGTGTAGACTTTCTTAATGTGCATATCCATTCCTATAAAAAAAAAAAAAAGTTCCAAAGTACAACTAGAAATGAAATGATGAGACAGAAAGAAGTCCCAAATATCTCATAAAGGATGGCTTAGCTATTTTCAATCTTAAGAGCTTAGTTATTTTCAACCTTAAGAATTTGAGGTCTACTATTAAAAGGATATAATTTATTTATTTTCTAGAATAGGGATTACCTAACTATGGACCACCAGCCAAGCTCAATGCAGAGTCTGTTTATCTATGTTGCTTGAGTGAAGAATAAATTGTTGACATTATTCAAGGGTTGAAAACATCTGAAGAAGAATACTGTATGGCACGAGAGCTGCATGAAATAGTCACTAATGCTCACAGGGGAAGTCTGCATGGCCCACAGCCATATGCTCTCCTGTTGCATGGTCTGGGTTGGCTTCACCCAGCTCCACAATGCAGCTGAGGATTTGAGGCAGAACTACACAGCCCTCACAGCCTAGAATCCTTTGGGTTCTTCCCTACCTCTGGGAAAAATACAGTTCCCCTATTTCATTTGCTTCCATATTTCCAGACTTACTCAGTACCTGGCACATAGTCATCAATAAACATTTGTTAAAAGGATGAATGAAGGCCGGGCGGTGGTGGTGCATGCCTTTAATCCCAGCACTCAGGAGGCAGAGCCAGGTGGATCTCTGTGAGTTAGAGGCCATCCTGGGCTACCAAGTGAGTTCCAGGAAAGGCGCAAAGCTACACAGAGAAACCCTGTCTCGAAAAACCAAAAAAAAAAAAAAAAGGATGAATGAAGGGATGCATAATCTTACGTTCTTTTTCTAGTGGATTTAAACAAGTAAATAGAATAGTTACATTTTTGAAGAATTATAAGATAAAAGCTTATTAATAATTTGTCCTCAATGTAGGCAGAATTCCACACATTTTCAGATTCACTATTTCTGACAAAGTCAGAAAGTGTGGAAAGTTTCCTTCCACAGACTCAATCTTGGTTGTATTAAAGGTTCTACTGGTCCTGTTAGGATGACTACATTGGTTATAAATGTGTAAACATGTTGTCTTACACTAATTCCAAGTGGTTTTTGCATAGTAGAAAATTATTATAGTACTAAATTATTATAGAACCGTATCTCTTTTTCAAGAACTAGAAAGGTGATTTTTTTCTCTTTAATCAACTCTGAATTAGTTGTTTTAGTCTTGAAGGACACTGATGTGGCACAGCACATGCTTCATCACAGTCACATTTGCTATAGTCTAATGTTCAAATTCCCATCATCTTGTCTAGTTTTCCCACTGGTTTATAAGTAGGAAAAACAAGACAGGGTCCTGGAGAGCTTCTCCAGCTGTCCGGAGGCCACAGAGTTCACCGAGACAGAGCAGGCTACCTACTGCCTGGCATCTGCTGGGTAACTGCATCAGCAACCCAGATGCTGGCCCTGAAGGCTGATGGGCACTGCTAGCCTTAGCTTTAGAACCTAAGACTCATCAGGTCTGTCTGAGCCTGTGGTTTATAAACAAGGAAGTAACTATTTAGCACTAGTCGGTTTTCATCTGATTACTTATATTATTCTAAATCCCTAAATGACCCAATTTTTTCCAGCCTATCTCCTAAAAAGATAACAGGCTAGCAGAAAGCCTGGCTAAGAGAGCCATGACCCAGTTTACTGGAGTGAAGACACGGTTATCCCGACCCTCTACTGTGGGAGGTCTCCATGAGGTGATTACCAACAGCCATAATGAAGTGCTTGTTACAAACCAAACGCTATTTAACCTGGGTTTCTGGTGGTAAACAAAATGGAGAGATTCCATCCTTCAAAGAGTTAGTCTGAGTGTGAGAAGACAATAAACAGGCTACATTAATCATTAAGGTGGCTTTGAGTACTAACAAATGACGTAGAGAAGATACAATAGTGTAGCGTTAGGTTAGTGTTAGCTGCAAACTTGACAGACTCAAATCGTCCTGGAGCCTTTAGGGATCATCTTATTATTTATTAATTACTTATTTGTGTATGTTCGTGCATGTGCACATGCTAGTGCCCATATGTGGAGGTCAAAGGACAAACTGCAGGGATTGGTTCTCTCCTGCCACCATATGAACTCTAAATTCAGATTCTTAGACTTGGCGCGAAGCACCTTTACCCAGTGAGCCACCTCACTGACCCAGAATCCCCTGATGATGTTGACCGAGGTGAGAAGACTCGCTGACTGTAGACCGCACCTTTTCCTGTTTGGGATCCTGGACTATGTGAGTGGGGAATGGACACTGAAGAGCAGCAGCAAGTACCCAGCAGTCTCTGCTGCCTGACAACGGATGCCATGTGAGCAGATACTTCAAGCTCCTGCTCCTTGGCTCCCTGACCATGATGGACTATGGCCTGGAACTGCCAGGGCAGGCCTCTTCTCCCTGACATTGCTTTTGACAGAGTGTTTTCTCACAGCAATGGGGCAAGAAACTAAGACAACAGGACAGAGAGTGACAGTGTGAGAAGGTGTCTCTGAGGAGCTGGGGACACTCAGGTGAGGCCCGCAGCAGACAGTGCTGTGGACTCTGAAACAAGCCCATCTCTCCTCTCCGATTACCCAGCACCGAATGCTAACCGACAGGCAGACTCCTGGGGCTACTTGGCCAGCCGCTCTAGCCTAATTAGTGAACTTTAAGCCAATGAGAAACCCAGTCTTAAAGGAGGTGGATGGTGTTTCTGGGGGTGGGGGACACCTGTCCTCTGACAGTCACATGCATGCACCCATATGCACACCTGCACACACATGAACACAAACATCATTTAAAAAGGAGTTTATCATATCTCACAAAAGGTACAGTGGTCTTACCTTTGGCACATTCATAAAACTTGGTTTGGCTGTTGAAATCAATCCCAAGGTCTGGATAGAACAATTTACCAGCTGAGAAAGAATATCACAGGCAGCTTCTGCGGACTCAGTACTACTGTCAACCTATAAAGACAAGTTTTAATCTGAATTTCCCAAAGGCAACTCATCAGAACCACTGGAAATGCAATCATTTAATGGAATTCAATAACCAAGTTTTGTTGATCCCTTTCATCAATATAAACAATTATTTTCATATGAAATGTCTGAGCTCACAAAGGGAGAAACAGAAATATGGCAGAGTAACTTTGCAGCGCTTCATGCTTTCAGGTCTTTATGGGTATTAATAATAACAGCCAAATGAGAAAACTGAACCTTAAGTCACTCAATTACAGTCGACCTTCTCTATTTCAGTCTGTGTGATAACTAGAGAACAATCAGAAAGCAATGTGGGATGAAAATCCCGGAGCATTTACCAGTGCCTCAAAGTTAGGATCCAAACACACAAAAGGATCTAGCGATGCAAGCTGTTCCTACCTTAAAGCTGACATACTGCAGATGCGCAGCATGCCTTTTGATGATCTGCTGAATGAGATCAGGATGAGTGGACTTAAAATAGGAAGTGGCTGATTGGTTCAGCTCAAACTCAAACTTTCTCCAGAGGTCAGGAATGTGAAATACTTCATTCCATCTCCTACACACAGAAGATGCGCGGGCTCGGTCTATTAAAGGAAGATACTGGAAAATTTGTAATATCACGTGGTGAGGTAAAGTCCCCCAGTCTAGAAGAACAGAGAGCACATGAGTCTGGGTGAGGGAAGGGCAGAGCCCACGTTTGGGCTGCTTCACTACTGGCGGAGTCTGGACAACTTTATTCACAGCAGAGAAATTATTCCTCTTCATTCTGTAAGTATCAGAAAGTGTTGTTGGTTTCTTTTTCATCATTCCGCAAATATCTACTCTAACTGTACAGAATAATATTAGAAATGGACACTAATCCCACTAACACACGTTTAACAGTAACCTTCCACTTCTGGTGCACCGATAAGTGCTACACTGTGCTGAGGACAGAGGTTAAGTGCAAACCCGCTCTCAAAACCATGATCAACGGCTGAACACCACGGTAAATGATATGAGTGAGGTGGAGCCAGCTGTATGAGAGGGGAAAGAGAACTGCACGTGACTGACTTTGTGTATGAAGAAGTGGTTGGGGGCTCTAAGAAGAAGCAAAGTAGCATACACCCCACATGTGTTTTCCCCACCGTTAAGGGCTGCATCTTACTGTGTCCTACAAAGGAACTGCCACACACTGAGATTCCGCCAGACTCCTGGGAGATCGGGGAGACAACTCAACTCAGCTATGCGGTGCACTAACCATTGACTCTAACCCTGGCTTCTCATCCATAAAGCAGGGATCAGAGCACTCATAAAGCTGCTCTGAGGATTAGACCCCTTTCTGTATTGGTGCATTGTGCATACTTAAGAAGTGCTGCTATACTAGCTTGTATTTTTCTGAACTATTTTCATTCCATAAGTCAAATCACAATTCTAAGAGAAAACCAAATGATTCCCAATGAATTTCACGTGACAGCTTGGACATAAGAATTCTGGGACATGTGGACACAGCAGGGACAGAGTTGTTACACGAGTCCATATCTGCTCCTCTGTATAAAGAACATGAGAATGAACATTCTTCTCCCCAGAAAGAATCCCCAGGTGTTAACTACTTGGGACAGTGTTGACATCTGAAGCCCAGATACACCGACACATATAAGAAATTATCTGTAATCTTCTCTGCATGTTTTATGTAAGAATCTAAAGTAATAATGCACCATTATTTGAGAGGCTTTATAATGGTAAAAATGGTTCTGAAGGTAACTCTGATCACTGACTTAACCGTACTTTCACCCATCAGTGTTAGGAATGTATATACAAATTTAGTATCAGATTTGAACATACCTTCAAATTTACTGAGATATTTATTTACAGTGTAGGTACATTTGTCATGTGATCCAGTCTGAGTGATGTGAAACATTTCTTAACCACAACACAAGGTAGGATCCCAGAAGCAGGACTGACCTATAAAACGACTGTAAAAAACATGAAGCCATTTTTAGAGCTTGGGAACTGGAATGGAAAACAAAACCCCTTGTAACTCAAGCGTCAGAGAAAGAGCTCCTCTGTGCATCTCCATCTGAACCTGCAAACAATCCCAGCACTCGGGAGGCAGAGGCAGGTGAATCTCTGTGAGTTCGAGGCCAGCCTGGGCTACAGAGTGAGATCCAGGACAGGCGCCAAAGCTACACAGAGAAACCCTGTCTCAAAAAAAAAAAAATGAATAAATAAAAAGAAAGGCTATGCCTAATATAAAACTTTACGAGGAGACAAAGTGAGGACAAAGACTTTATCCAAATGCCAGGTCTTGTATAACTGCCTCACAGTTCTCTACACAGAGTGACTGTGTTATACACTAAGCTTAACTGTACATAACAAGAAATTGTTCAATTTGCTCAATTCATTAAATTACCAGTTTACTGGTAAATAATTAATGTTATTAGGAGCTGAAAAGATGGCTCAGTGGTTACAGCACTTGCTGCTCTTACAGAGGACCCAAGTTCAATTCCCAGCACCCACATATGCATCAGTACACACATGGTACATAGACATAAATGCAGGCAAAACACCAATATAAGTAAATAAACTTCTTAAAAAGGAATATTCTATTAATACCAGTAATTTAGTGAAATACATGTTAATTTTCCTTCTCCTCACATAAATAAAGCATAAAACTCTACCCTTCCGATCATAAACTTCATATAGCACAACATTGCAGGTATATGTGTCAGTATATTTTAGAATGTAAGATAAATTGATTTGTATTACTTGGAAATACTTTTTTAATCATATATTCATTTTTAGTTAAATAATATGAGCTACATAAAATAATTTATGAATATGGAATGCCACTTGGTCATATTGTATTCCCATTAAAAATTTTTTCTTGGAAATGTTTTATATAAAAATCCTACCTTAAATACATGGGGCCATTAAAAAAAAACCTGATCATTTCTTTTTACATTAAAAAAATGGATCACTTCTTTTTCAAGACTCTCGTATGGAAGTTCACGCTGAACCAATGAAATGAAGCAATTGCTGCATCGGGTACTCACCAACATCCCTTTGCCCTCACTTTCAATCTTGGAAAACACCACAAAAGCATCACTAGGGCATATAATAATTTATGCTTAGGTTATTCATAAATCATTATATATTAAGCGATTGTATTAGTAAATTATTAATACGAAAACTATTTTCTGCCCAAATGAAAAACTAGCTTGTGGAATTATCATAGTACTTGCCAGGCGCTACACTGGAAGCTATACTAAGGTTCCATATCAGGCAGTAAACGACTCTGAAAAGTCACATTTTACTTACTATCTGTGGAGAGATAGCATGAAAATTTAAGGTGGTTCAATAAATACATGTATTTGTTTATAAGCTGTATAAATCTTTCAGCACAGTTCAAACTTCTCTGCAGTATTGGGATATATTTACTTACGAAGGAAATTTCCTAGTTGAAAAGATACATTCATTTTTAAGTACAGTATCTGAAGACTGAAGTTTGCAAAACTGTTCTTGGATTGAAAACACCTTTTGAGATTCGAGGATGCCAGAAAGGCTGCACAGAACTTGACCTGGACCATCCCTTAGAACCCCTTAGGGAATTGGAAACCTGGTAGCCTGCCCCATTTTCCTGCAACCTCTGCTTCCAGACTGGGCTAGAAAGACAACGCCAAGCCAGGGCAGAGTTCAGAGTCTAAAAATGAATACAAATGACAGTGCAAATGCACCGCTCTAAAGCTGCACCGTGCAATTTATCTTACATTCTAACTGCCCAGAGAAACCGGGCTTGGGAACAGCCTTACCCTAGCCAAAAAACCTCTACAGAACTAGCTGCGAATCGGCCAGAAGGCTGCGAAGCCCCGGGAGGGCGGATCGGCTCGGCTCCACTCGGCAGGCTTGGTTCCGAGCTGGTTCGGTTCAGCGGTCCCTCTGCAGCCCTGCGGATCCGAGGGCTCGCCTCTGCGGCTCGGCCCGGCCAGGCCCGCCACGTCGGCTCCCCGGGGCTGCTCCACAAATGTTACCTCAGAACGTACGCCTGAGCTGCAGCCAGCCCAGGTCCAGCCCTCAGGTCCAGCCCAGGACTCTGCTTCCCGAACCCCAGCAGCTCGCTTCTCAGGTGGGCGCCCTCCAGCGCTGCCTAAAGCCGTGGGCTGTGATGGACAGAACGGTCCTACAGGCCAGGCCCCGCCCACGTCACGCCCCTCCAGGAAGCCCCGCCCCAGCCAGTTTGCTTGTGTCCAGGGCTTACCTTACCACAGGTCCCCGTCCCCGTCCAAGCCCCGCCCTCCCGGATGTTCAACTGCTGTAATCCCCGCCCCCGGGCAGCCTCGCCCCATCCCCAGCAGCTGAGTTATGCCTTATGCCCGGCCCCGCCCCGCCCCTGTCAATCCCGCCCCGCCCCTAGCCACTAAACTTAAAGCTAGAATTCATCTAGAAGTAGACCTTGACCCCCGCCCACGCCCCGCCCCCTGGAAAATGCCCCGCCCATTGATGGAAGCCCCTGGAAGCTTTGACCATAGGCAGCCTCGCCCTGCAACCCCCGCCCCCCGGCTCCCCCCCCACACCCCTGTTGGACCCTAGGGCCTCATCTAGCAGATGCAGATTGCCAGGCCCCTAGAAATCTCTTGGTGGTACCAGGCACACCATGGAAGTGCTCCTTAAGTAGCAAGAGGGATGCTTAGTTGAATAACTGACAGCTTGCCCAAAACTAGCAGTTCCAGTTTCCGGGTTTTAACTTGAAGGCCACCCCACTTCCACCAGCATGCAGATACTGGAGGAACCTTGATAAGAAGCTGCAGTGATAGCCCCTTGGGTCTGGCAGCTGCAGGCCAGGACTGCAGGTCACCTATGAGCTGCCAGCCTGCCAGTACGAAAACAATGAACAGTGAGCTACGAATGTTGAAGCTTATCTTAAAAATTGTTTCAAAATAGGAGATCAAGCCATCCATACACAGCATGCTGGAACTTTCCCTTTTGCTTATTACATTAGGACACGATTTTATATCAACCTATAGTCCCTCGGATACTCATTTGTTAATGACCAGCTAGAACTGTATAACCGACACACATAAATTGCACATTCCCTAGGTTTTGTTGCCTTTGGAACCAGCATGGCAGACAAGGATATGAACATACCGTAGATCTATCTGGGTCTCCCTCTGTAATTCCCCTGTCATCACCCTCCCTCACCTGCTTTCTGAAATTTAGATAAATTTGCAGTCCATATTATAGATTGGATTCTGTGGTGTCTAGCTGTCAGTTCCTTCATCCGCAGGAACTCAGTTGACACGGACCCTGCCACATTGGCCTCTAAGTGACCTGGACACTTTTCCCCTGTCTTGTCTCCCTTCCTCCTTTGACCTCTTTTAGACTGTTTAGTCATCTTATGAACTAGATTCACATGCCAGTCTAGACTTCAGGTCTGCCAAAGCCTCTACTCCATAAATTCACCTCCAACCTCCATGTTCAACAAAGCCACTTCCAAGCTCTTGGACCCCAGGCAAGGCTTTTCAACTTGCGATTTGGGATCCCTACTCTGACCCCCTATGGCTCAGCCCTAATTATGCATCTCATGACCCATAACAAGAATCTTGCAACTCCAGCAATAATAATAATAATAATAATAATAATAATAATAATAATAATAATAATAATAATATCAGGTGCATTACCGAAAAACCCGGAAGCCTGACGCCCTCTGCTCAGCTCACAGGTAGTTCAACAACCAGAGACGCTTCTCAGCAGCTCGCTGGTCAGAGTCTGGCTTTGAGCAGCCGTGTACTGCTTCTGTGCAGTGTGGGAGGAGCCTCTGAGAATACGCCAAGATTCTGCTTCCCAGGTATGTGACCTTCTTGTTACCTCCTATGTCTCATGAGCCTCTTCCCACCTCCTGGAGGGGCTGTTTCAGTTCCAAGAAAATAGCCATGCACTATCTATTACTCAGTGTTTTAGATTTCATCTTTTCATGACATCCCAAAGATCATGTACCTTACATTTCCATTTTAAAAACCTTTTATTGTTGTCCTTGAATGAATATACCAATTCCTCCATCTTGTCTTCAAGTCCTGACATTTCATCCTCTCCGTGATCTGTTTCACTGGTGAGTCTTTCCACGGGGCTTTTCATTTCAATCACTGGAATTTTCATTTCCAGCGTCATTTCAGTTTGGTTTCCCCCTGATATTTCTGTCTTTATTGAATCCCATTCATATCTTACGTTGACTTCCTTATTTCATTCAGCTGTTTGTGTTCTTGGGGATTTCATTCAGGAGTGTGTTTATGCTATCTTTCGTTTCTATGAATGGATTTATCATCGTGCTTTTGAATTCTTTGTCTGGAATTTCATCTAGGCCACTCTTGTTGAGGAACATTATTCTAGGATGGGCAGAATCTGGAGGAGACATGTCTTGTTTTGTCCTGCTGCTGTTCCTTCTGTTTTTACATTGGGACTTGCATGTCAGGAGTTAGGTTGGTTCAATTTTATTATTATTATTATTTAAGTTTGTTCTTTTAGTTGGATGTATTTTCAGTGTTTAGGAGGGACTAGGTTGTAGTAGTGTTGAAGTGTTGCTTTCCTCTGTTAGACTGGTGGTTAGGGAACCAGGCTCTGGGCCCAGCTCTCTCACTGTTTATAGCCTACCCACTTTATGGTAATTTGTTTTGGCAGACCCCATGGACTAAGACAGCAAGTCACTAACCAGGATTAGACCCACTAGGAAAAAAAAAATAAAGAGTGGTAATCAACTATGCAACTCACGCCTGTGCAGAGCTAAGAAAGCCCTGAGTGACAGGGAAGATTAACGTAACAAGTCCTGAGTGAATGTGTGTTGTTGCCCTGCTCACAGCCATGTCAAGGACCCACTGCCTCAGACCCATGGGAACTGACAAAGCCTTTCCCCAGGATGGGGTTCAGAGGGACGGCAAAATCGTCTTTTGGTCCCAGTGCGAATGTTGACAGTGTCTGCAAGTATGAGTGTTTGTGAACGATTAACCAGTTTGTGTAAAAACTAGTGCCCGCAGCTTCCTGCTCCCAGGTCTTTACAGCCTGAGATGACTTACCTTAAGCAGCCTCCTTCAGAGCTAACTCCTCCCTGATGCTGGGGTCCCCTGATGCTGGGTTCCAGGATGTTGTTTTGAGTTGGTGCCACTCCATCAGTGTGCCTGTGGCCCACCTGACCCCAGCTTTTCTGCACACATGCCTGCTCTTTCTTCATGCCCTCACCACCCCAATCAGGTTTCCAGGACATGCAGGCCACAGCACACCCTTAGGCAGTAACCGCTTTAGCGAGTAAAGGGACATTTACTGTACTATGAGTACTTGTACATTAGTTATTGTCGCTGTAAGTGGAAAGCAAAAGAAAAGGAAGGAGGAAAAATCACACACTAAGATTCGTGGTTAGTGGGTGACAGACTGCACACAGAAGAAAGGACTCTCATGGGGTGGGTTGTAGGAGAAAAACATGTCAGGGACATGCTGTGGGATGGTCTTTCTGTACGCTGTGAAAGACCATCCCACAGCAGGAACATGAGGAAAGATTTAGACTAAAGAGTGGTAAAGATGCATTGTCAGATAACATGGGGTGCTCCCATCAGGAGGCTAAGGCACAGGGACCCTGAAAACCAGGCCAGGCATGGTCTTTGGGCAAGGGGTGGGGCAGAGAAAGAATAATGAGAAAGGGTCAGGGAACCACAACAATAGAGGACAAGAATAAAGGAGGCCACCCTGGCTCTGGAAGACTGGACATGTCTTCAAAAGTAGCAATTGGTGATAGGACTTTTCCAAGATGATATATCTACCTTTATGAGACAGATGGCAAAATCACCTCATTTCCTCTGCTCTAGGTTTCAGAGACAAAGTCAAAAGCCCAGAGGTGATGGAGACTCACATCCTGACTCTGCCTCTTCCTGTTGTACCATGGACAAGCTACTTCACTCTCGGCCAGCTGCTTCAGATAACAACACTGTTTTCATAGAGCTGTTGGATTAATTAGGACAATTGGTTCACAAGGGCTTAGATAGTGGCTGGCACACCATGAGTGCTATGCTATGAATGTTTGTGTCTCCCTCCGCATTCATCTGTTGAATTCTGAACTGTAAGCTCGTGCTCCTGGATGTGGTGTTTTGAGAAGCCAATTAGATGCCGAGGGTGGGCCTCTCATGATTGACATTGGTGTCCTTACAAAAAAAGGGTACACAATGCTAGCTGTCTCCTACGCAGTGAAGGCATAGACAGTAAAATTGATAAAGTAGGACACAGGCCCACAGTGAATCTGCAGGCATTTAATGTTAAACTCCACTGTTCCATATTGTGAGAAATAAGTTCCCATTGTTTATAAGTTACCCAGTTTACAGTTCCTTGTTATAGCTCGCTAAATGGACTAGGACAGCAAGTCATTCAATACCTGCAGAATGGTGGTCATATTCCTTCTGGTGCTTTGAGCCCAGAGCTATGAATTTACTATGCATAACTCCGACAGTGTGCTCCCACGCTGAGCAACAGGTCCTGGGTCATATACATGAAGATGCTAAGCATCTTCAAACATTGGTCTCTAACTTCCTGTTTTTTCTTTCCTTCCTCTCTACTAAAGCCTAACTTCCAACGAAGACCCTTATCAGGTCAGACGTTCACAGGGCTGGAAGATCACTACCCTGGAGCTGAGGCCAAAGGCCAGACCCCCTCCCTGAGTAGAGGTAATTGTTTTCCATACCTGGATTAAATCAACTTGATTTGAAAATCACTTCAAAATCTACAGTGATAGTGTTCATTTGTCTTTTGGGGAAGAAAAGTGCATTTGAAATAAGCCAGTAACATTTTCTGATAAAGGGTTTGTTATTTGGGGCCGCGTAATCCTGAGGTTACTTTCAATTGCCTGCTCCTGGGAAAAACTCCCAGGATGCTGTCTACATTTTGTTTCTTGTAAGTCATCAGACTCATTACCAGGAGGTCAGGAAGGAGGGTGGATCTGAGAGGAGATAGAGGGAGGTGTGGGAGGTAACATGATCAAAATATATTACATGAAATTCTCAAAGAATTAATAAAAATATTAAGAAAAAGTTCCTCTAAGACTTGCCAGTGGGCCAACATGAGCCAAGTCCAATGATGCATACAGACAACACTGTCATCAAGCTCATTGTTTCCACACTGACTTAAAAATTCATAAATATAAAACTTTACCTTTG